ACCATTTTTATTGTAGTACAACTACTATTTATATACGCCCAACTTTCTGTATATAATCCGTGTAAATTTACCTTCATTTTTTACGCGTAATCAAATCAATATATAACTAAATCGAATCAATATTTTTCAAAAAAAAATTTCAATGGCGGCAAAAACTCACTTCATTTTTATTATTACCTTGGTCCTCATTTTCGCCATTGCTTCACTCGATGCGTATTAAAGTGAGTTTTAATAATATATATGAATATAAATGATTCCATCTTTAATATTTTCTACTCACTAATTTATGACTTCATTGCGAATTTTTCGGTTGCAATCAGAATGTACTATCGGTAATATTATACACTTTCAAATTTTTAAAATAAATTCTTAATAATTTCTATCTTATTTGACTAATTTTTTTTTAAATTCAAATTTTCTTAGTCGTAATTGGCAATCAAAAACACGAAACTGGTGATGGACCTGGCTGCTATGGGCTTGATAATTCCGATCCAATCCATGTAGCTTTTTGTAAAGCCCATATTCGTTGTAATTACACTTTTTATTCTGATTATGGCTGTAAAGGAAGTGTTGTTGCTGAAGGATCGGATAGAACTCATTATGATCCTCCTATCACTGTCTCATCCGTCAATTTAAGATGTTAATTATCATTATTTTAAGCGTTTTTGGTTTCTGTTATAAATATATAAATTTTAAATAAATAGGATTATAAGATTTTTAAATTTATTGCTATTTGCACATGAAATGCATATAATCTACAGTATTAACCAGATTAAGTAAATTTTCAAAAAAAAAACATTTAGAAAAAAAAAGAATAAGAGTTTTATTGTAAAATTATAAATATTTTGACAGAAGTTTTCCAGAAAAATGTCTATGTTTAACAACAAATACAATACTAACACAAATAAATTTTTCTTGGGTGCATTTAGAATTGGTTTGACGAATGCTTTTCCCATTCGTCAATGATGAAAGTTTCGTCATTCGTCAGGCATGATTAGTCAACTGCACCAAATATCGAATTTGCTAATTTTATTTCCTGTCGCACTATGTATGATACTGTATTTCAGACCGTTTTTGTTTAGGTTATTTCCTTTTGTCTTTGTCTTTATACTTGGAAACTTTTAATCCGATAAATGAAATAATATGATTAAATTGGCTAAAAAATTTCATATTTACAGGCATGGAACAGAGCATCAACAAATTCAAAAGAGTAGGCTCCAAAAGTCCCTTTCTCTTACAAGATATTAAATTTTTTTTTTTTTTTTAATCTTCAAAGGTGAGGCCACAAGATATTAATTTAAAATGTGTATAATATATAAATTATTGCGAATTTAATAAATATACAAGATAATAAAAATAAATAACTAATGAACTGTAAAAGCAGGTAATTAAATTGTTTTAGAAAAAAGAACAAAACGAATATCAAGAAAGTGAAACTATTGCAAC